TGTGAGTTCGAGGCCAGCCTGGTCTACAGAGTGAGATCCAGGACAGACACCAAAACTACACAGAGAAACCTTGTCTTGGAAGTCAAAAGCAAAAACAAAACAAAACAAAAAAAAAAAAAAAAGAAGAAAGAAAGGAAAAAAAGAAAGAAAGAAAGGCCAAGGTCCAGCCTAAGGTTGCTATACCAGTGAGAGCAGAACCCCAGCTGTTGTCTCCACAGGCTTTAGTTTGAACCATAGTTCTCAACCAGGAGTGACTTTGCTCTAAGGGACAAGTAGGGATAGATGGATATATCTCTATCTATCTATCTATCTATCTATCTATCTATCTATCTATCTATCTATCTATCTATCTATCTATCGCTGTTGGCATGTGAGATCTAGTGGGTAGAAGCCATGGGTGCTTCTTGATCCGCTACCTGTGTGTGACAACTTCCACAAGAAAGAATTTCCCAGCTTTAGCTACATTCTCGTGTTTCTTAGAGCAGGATTGATAGTGGCCAAGATATGGTCCATTGACACATGAGTAGGCAAAGAAAATGAGGTACATATATGCAATAGACTAATCTTCAGCCATGAAGTGAAGGAAATCTTGTAATTTGTGGCAATGGGCATGGAACTAGTGGGTATCACGGTGAATGATAAGCCAGACATAGAAAGACAAACACTGCATGTTTACTCCTACTCCTTGGTGGCAGGTTAAATAATTATCTCATAGAAGAAGAGAGAATAGTGGACATTAGAGGCTGGAAAGGTGGGGAGAAAGGAGGGTACAGAAAAAAAGGTTAATAAGTAGCAAAAATGCAATTAGAGGAAGAATTAGTTCTAGTGTTTTCCAGAGCAATAGTGTAATCACAGTCTACAATCATTCAACATATACTTCAAAACACTGGGGCAGAAGTATTCTAAATGCAAGCAAATGACATGTTGGAAAGGAGGAAATACTAATTATATATTATATACACGTATGAATTGCCATACTGTATCCTCCAAAATATGCATACATATTAGGCATTAATTAGAAATTTCAAGAAAGAATTACCTAGTCCCCAATTTTGGTTGTGGAGATGTTAAAAAATTGCGATTAGCCACTGTCTGGCATGATGAGGATCTGGTCCTTTGTACTTCCACCCGCCCCCCCCCAACAGCACCATCAGCATCCCTTAAGCTGAGGATGGAGAGAAGTGAGTCCTTTCTCCAGCTTGCTTCTTACACATAGCATAGAACACCTCTCTCAGCCTCTGATGGATAGACCCAGTCCCAGCAGAGGTGAAATGTCTTATAGCAATACCTTGACATCTGTTGTTTAAAGACAAGAAAGAAAAGGCTACTTTTAAATTGGGGTGTATGCACACCACACACTGGACTGGACACTTCTAAAGCCACTGCATTATCCTCTAGAACAGCTCGTTTTTATGCTTAGTGAAATCAGAGTAACTCACCTCTCATCCCCGTCATCCCAGGCTTGGAATGAGGAACAGATTCAAAGTCACAAAGCTAGAAAATGGAGCATGGAACCTAACTGGGGTCCCACAGACTCTAGCTAGACTGGGACTTACTACTTGCTTTTTAAGGAAAGCCATGCTGAAGGTTAAGTAGGGAGCTGAAAACAAGTCCTAAATATTTCTTGCTCCTCCTTTTAATTAAAAGGGTAGCTCTTTATACCCCATAAAGCAATCAGCATACAACATGGAAAGTCTATATTAGCATACGGGGGTGTGGGTACGTTGGTCATAATAGGGCTTTTTTATAGTTCTCAAGGCACATTTATTATCCATTATCTCATTTGATCTCCTCAACCGTCCTGAGAGTCTGTTGGAGGACAAATGTCTACATTTTATATTTGAAAAACTGGGCCTGGAAGGGAGTAGGCTTGTCCAAAGGCCTTGGCCAGCCTAGTCCACCCAAGGTGCCTCCTGCAGCTCCTGAGGCTGCTGTCAGGGTCCAGGACCGTCTCTACTTACAAGCCTAGGGGAGCTCCCATGAACTCTGACTCACTAGGGGTTAAGCCACATAAACTCTTTTATGAGTGGTAACCATTTAACAGGCCCTGTAAAAAGGGCCCCTCACCACATTGCCTGCTTTCCCCTGGAAAGGGGGTGCTGGCAGAGAGGAGGGCTTGGGAGAGGGTACAGAGTGGGAGGTGATAAAGCAGCTGAGACCTTGACGTCCTAAAGGCTTCTCTGTGAGTTGGGAATAGTTACGGAAGTTTCCACAAGGTTGTGTTGAGAAATGACGTCTGCCTCAAGGAAAGGATCCCATGAGAACTGGCCTGAGACACTTACCAAATTCTTTTTTAAATGTCCTTATCCTCTTTATTATAAAATCTTGCTGTTTTAGATGTTTGTTTGTTTTATGTGTATGAGTCTTCTGCCTACATGAAGGTATGTGCAGCTTGTGTGTACCTGGTGCCTGAAGAGGTGAGGACATCAGACTCCCTGGAACTGGAGTTAGGGACGGTTACGATCTACCATGTGGGTGCTGGGTCCTTTGCAAAAGCAGCAAGTCTTCTCCCTGATGGAGCCACCTCTTTAGCCCCAGCTCTTATTATGAGTGTCTAAGACCTTGGCATAGATAGTGTCAGGTGATTCTTCTCAGGCTTTGAGTTTAATGATATACCCATTTTGCAGTTGGAGAAAGCGAGACTCAGGAAGTTTTGGGCGAGACAGATACAGAACTTAGCATCATCTACAGTGAGCAGAGGAACTAGAGTTTCAGTTCCCTCCTCAACTCAGAAGAGTGGGACCAACCCCATACCACCTGCCCCATACCACCTGCCCCATACCACCTGCCCCATACCACCCCCCTTCTTTCAGGAAGTGGAGAACAAAGCCCTAAACTGGCTAAAAGGGAGGCTCCCGCTGGATCCAGCAGGTCTCGTCCCCACCAACATACCCACTTTGAAGCAGCCCTGCAGGCAAGTCCTTGGGACGGTGGTGGGAGGCCTATCTCTGCCTGTTCTTTGAGCCTGCAGGGCTGCTCCCCAGCAGGGCTGGGCTCTGAGCTTCAGCCCTCTTGGGGTTAAACAGTAACCTTTCCACTGCTTGTGGGTGAGCAAACGCTGCCAAGGAAGAAACCCAGCCTTGAGCAAACACGAGCCAGGGCTGGGCCCTGTCCCTCCCCAGCCGCCAAGTCCCCCGATGGATGAATTAGCTGAGGTGGATTGTTCTGAAAAGCCCGATGGGAAAATGTCTCCATGACTGTGTGAAAGGAAGGTTTGACCTGGTGAGAACAAAAGTTTTCTTGAAGGGGGCTTACGAATCAGTTTTACCTTTTTAGATCGAGAAATGGGCGGCCTGGGGTTGTTTTGAGTCCAACTTATCCACAGAAGTAGCCGTTTTTCCCACAGTGGTTTCATTGAATTGTTAAACTTTGTGCTAAGTTCTACAAGTATGGAAATATGTTTGATCCATAACCAATGTCCGGGGCTAGATGTGACAATCTGTGTTTTCGCACAGCGGGGACTGAGGGTGAAGAGATGTTGAGTAACCGAGGTGAGCTAGCACTCACTCTAACTAGCGAGTGGGAGAGCTTGCCGGAATCCCGGCTCTTCTGGCTTTGAAGCGCTCATACAGGTACCAGAATGAAGGCTCAAGCTCTCCTGGGTGCCCTCCCAAGCCTCCCTTCACTAACTGAATTGTCTGTCATTTCTACTCTGCCTGTCTTTCTTCACTTTCCTCTTATGCTGGGTGTGAGCCTACATGCTCACCAAGCGACGATGATGATGAAGTCAACAATTACAAGTGGTGTGCAGCCCAGCTTAACCCCTAAGCCAGCACTGTCCTCAGAACCTGCAGATAGTACCTAGCTCTTCATCAGGGCGGTAAATATTGGCTGAATACATGAATGTATGAATGTATTATAGGCTTTCTCAGGGTTATATATCTTTTCTCTGAGGTTCTACATAGAACCAACCGGAGGAGCTGAAGCTCAGTTAGGTGTGTGTGTGTGTGTGTGTGTGTGTGTGTGTGTGTGTGTGTGTGTGTGTGTTATTACTCTGAGGGGACCATTCCAATCTGTTGACATGGGTGACACCTGCGGATGCAAAATTTCCTCCAAATAGGACAAAAAAAAAAAAAAAAGCCATGATTTGTGGCTATCCACACTTCAACATTTTATAAAGAACAGGGGCATCACTTCTCGGCCTTTTGGCTAAGCTCAAGTGTGAAGAATGAGAGACTTTCACAGCTTCACGAGGTCCAGAAAAAAGCCTGCCTTCCCTTTCATGATTATGCACACTCCCAGGTTCCAACCTGTAGTGTGTAGGGTGTCCCGTTTGGGGCAGGCACATCATAAATGCCTCTGAGATGTAGAGGTTTTACATTGCTCCAACGTTCCAGATGGGTTATGAATGAAAACTGTTCTTCTGGGTCCCACAATCGAGAATCGGAGGAAGTCACTTTGAGGATGGCTTCAAAACCTGTTGAATGTTCCAGGTCTCCATCAGAAGAAAAGCCACCCAGAACTTTTTAGCAAAACATAAAATCTTAGTTTTCTGTACCAGAAAGATGAAGTGTCTGTCACAGAAATCAAAGAATTCCTAATCTTAGCCCAAAGCTGAAAGGCTTAAAAACAAACAAACAAACAAACAAAACAAACAAACAAAAAACCTCTACTAAGATATGATGGAGGGCCTCAGACGACCAGTTCATCTCAAGGAGGACTCTGCATGGAGGAAGCCTTCCTGTGTCCTCAAGTGTGGGGGACACTTAGGTGGGGACTCACAATGTTGTCTCACACAGGGGCTGGGTCTGAGATTTCACTGATCAAAATTCCGCTTCAAATAAAATCTCTCTGGTATTTTCACTTTTGTGAAGCACTTGGATACTGGCCAGGTTTGCCCTGTGAGCAGGTATTGCGTTTTCTTCCCGGCATCGTTTCTGATCAGAGATTATTCATTTATGAATGGGTGGCTATAAAAACTTGCCTCATGCATATGAAAATTGAACCTGGAAAGTTTTAATCGCCATGAGTTTTGCTTTTACTGAACGGGCTGTGGCAATGGGTGGAAGGACATGCTCCTTCCTCTCTTTCTCTCCTGTTGTCTTTCTTTCTTTCTTAAATGGACTCCATGATCGTCATTCTCCAGTGACATTCGTATAAGAGGCGCTGATTGAGTGACCATTTGATCCCTTGCAGATCATGATTCTGGAAGGAAGTGGTGTAATGAATCTCAACCCAGCCAACAACCTCCTCCACCAGCAGCCAGCCTGGACAGACAGCTACCCTGCATGCAATGGTAAGGGCCCTGCGGCTGTCGCTGGCACTGCCCAAGCCCCCTTCTCTCCTGGTCTGACTTCTTTTCCAACTTGATGCCTGGTTGTATTCAGTGATGACATGGAGGTTAGGGACAAATCTCTGTCTGTCTGTCTGTCTGTCTGTCTGTCTGTCTGTCTCTGTCTCTCTTCCCTCCCTCCCTCCCTCCCTCCCTTCCTCCTCCCCTCCCTCCCTCTCTTCCTCTCTCCCCCCTCCCTTTCTCCTTCCTTCCCTCCCTCTCTGCTGAAAATTGAACTCAGTGTTTTGCTAATCACAGACTGTACCGCTGATCCATACTTTCTTATATGAGTAAACTTTTAACGCTGTTTGCTCTGTAGGCTTCCAGGACTCTCTGTTAAGGCCCATTTGTGAGAGACCACCACCTCCTTCCAAGATGCAATGATTCGGGTTGGAAGTAGAAGTGGTAGATGAGATGTCCCACGGGAAGGGAGCCATCTTGTTGAAGTTTTTAATAGTGTTTCATTAGGATATCAAGATAGGATCATGGAGGGTGAGTGTGTACAGGAGTACACACATGTATTTAACACACACACACACACACACACACACACACACACACACACACACAAGAAGAAAGGATTTTAATACTTGAAACTTTCTACCTTATTTACCATCCCTTCCCAGCTTAAGGAAGAGAGAGTTGTCAGGGAACCGGGTGCTGTCTTCCAGTGCTTTGCTCTAGAACATACAGACTCAAAAGTAGGAGGACCTCGTGACAAGCCTTGTATGTAATGTTTGGTGATCCAGTCTGTGGCTCCCAGTGAAAGCTGAATCAGGGGCTCTGTGCTTCACTGTGAAGGCATTCAGCACAGCCAGGCTGCTAGGTGTCCCACAGTGCTGGCTTAGGGACTCAGTGTACCCCCACCTGTTGTTAATTACCCCCGCCCATGCTGCTGCTCTTGTTTACCTTGACACACAGATGTATCCTGTTAGAAAAGTTTGAGAGCAGGAGTGAGGGCATGGTCGGGTGACATTCTCTGCTGAGTGGCAGGTCCACGTGGCACTCCTCTTTTAGTTTGGAATCCCAGCCAAGCATGGCAGGAAGCTTGAACAGGTGGCCTTCCTGTTTTAGGTCACTTGTCTCCTAAAACAGCTGCCCTTTCTGGACAGTTACATATTCCGTGGCAGACCTTGAACTTGCTGTGGGGACCTAGAGAAAGATAATCTTCCGAAGAGAGCAGGAAGTCTTGGCAGGCCCTAGGCGCCATCACTGCTGTTTGACTTGGAGAAAAGTGGTGTGGTGGACTTATCGGGGAGTAGAATTCAGATGTCACTTCTATTTCTTTAGCTCTGGGGGTGTCAAGACCGAAGGGAGAGGGAGGTCAGCTGCATGGCAGAGAACAGAACCCACTGGGTTTTCAGTTTTCCTGACATGATGGACCCTGATGATTCTCTGCCTGAGAATTCCTCTCCCAGTCAACTTCAGGCAAGTTTCTGGCTCTTGTCTCCCAGCGTTAAACAGAGTATCAGAAGTTGCCTGTAACTAGGCTCCCATTGAGTGCACAGGGAAGAGAGTCTCAGGCCCGCCACCGAGCTCATGAGAGTTATTCTTCTGTTGGCAAACCCACAGCTTACTTGTTATTGAAAATGAAATTATTTTAGGACTGGGGATCATCATCAACAATGAAAACCTAGTTCTCATCCTTCCACAATGTCATGTTTGTCATATTATTACATGATAATAAAAATAGTAATAAGGACACAGAAACCGTCATAGGCTTTGGATTGGGGGAGAATTTCTGTAGACCTCAAGTTTTGGACTCCTTGCCTTGCCCTGGTGCTGGCCCCTGAGGGAGGGGCTGGGGAATGCCTTTGTTCGCCTCTAAGGTGGGAGCGAAGAGGCTCACCCTGTGAGCAGCAGATAGCGATCGATCGCAGGCACCTTGATGTCCTGATTGATCTTGCCTTCTTGCTCTTATTGCTTTTGAGGTCAGGAAGCAGAGGCTGGATTCAGAAGGGGGAGAAAAAGTGAGATGGCTTAAGAGCCTCACCCCTTCTTTCCCTTCCGCTGGTAGGATAGAGGGTTAGCCCCGAGACGTTGTGGGAATAGAGTCCTGAATCTCCCTGTCATTCCACAGTCCAGCAGCAGCAGTATGGCAAAGCTTGCGAGGAATGCAGAAATGCAGGCCTTAGCCCATACCTCCTGGACTGGGATCTGCATTTGGGCAGCAGTCCCTGGTGATAGCAGCGGCCCTGAAGTTTTAAGTACCTGGCCAACATGATTTTGAAGGGACCGTTAGGAGTATTTTCCTTGTAAATACATTTATCCTCATAAAATGCTGTCCCCTGATCATGGCTCGATTGTGGCTTCTAGAAATTGGCATCGCTGTGACCTCTCACAGGAGACCCACATACGATGGGATCCACTAACATTACTTTGTGGCGGGAAAACTAATGCAGTATGCAAGGCTCCATCCCTCTCTAAAGATACGGAAGCAGTTAACAGTTGATGGGTAGGCTGGAGAAGACCCCTTTGGAGGGACAGCTGTTTAGAGCCACCTAAAGGAACCTCTCACTTATGTGCCTATAAGTAACACCAAATTAAACTCAACAGCTCACCGAGCTAGACTTTGGTATTGATCCTTTTGTCCTTTTGTCTGTGATCCTTTGTCTGTTGTTGGGGTCCTATCCTGGGTGAGCAGACACTAGTTTACATCTCCCCAGGAAAAGCCATGCAGCGTTGGTCCAGATCTTGAGTGTGTCTCAAGTTCAGTTACATTTGCCCAGCTTGGGCTTGCTGGGCTACAAGGTGTCTGCCTCTTGCCTTTGCTGTTTACCTTTCTTGGAAGAGGGCTCCTCCTCTTTACCTGTGTTTTCAGAAGACCTTGAGGTGCCTCAGCCTTGAAACACAGCCCTAGAGGCTGGTATTCCCTTCTGGAGCTCGCATGCTCTTGGGCCAATTCTGTGAAGTTCTCTTAAGTGAGCACAAGGCAGTCATGTACATGGACCACTGACATGTAACATGTTCAGCAATTTACCCACTGGTATGTACTTTACATCTCCATCCAGATTATCTCATAGTACAACTGTATTCCTGCATTAGTCGAGAATTCAGCTGAAATGGAATCATATTGACTAGGTAATGAGCTCCCACTATGGCTCCGAAGGAGTTTTTATGGATACACGAAGATGAGTAAGACAGAAGGTCCGTGACCTTGAACATACAGTTTGCAAAGAACAATAAGCCAGAACTTAGAAGCCTGTAAAGATAAGCAGGACGTAACAGGTGCCATTGAGCATGATTCCTGGAAGTTCAGTTCTCAAAGAAGTTGGGGGAGACTGTGACTCTGAATTCAAAAGGAGGAGAGCTAAACAGCAGGAAAGGGTGAGAGAGGAAGGGACCTGGGGACCACACAGAAGAAACGCGGGGGACCCTAGCCGCTTCATAAGCAGTTGGCAGAGCGCTTCAGGGCCTGGCGCGGCAGCCTTAGGTCTTACTTCAGTGAGCAGTAGGAAGCTTTTGATGGGAACTGAGGGGGGAAGGTGTGTTGGAGCAGTTATCACCAGTCAGGGGCGAGATTTGTCACTGCAGGGAAGAGTAAAGCCGTCAGAGAAAGGGAAGCTTAACTGAAGGCCCCATTTTTGGTTGAAAATGGTCTGTGTTTGATGAGTCTCAGCTTTTGTCTCTGAATCTCGGTCTCTGTCTCTGTCTTTCTGTGTATATAAGAGAAAAGAATTATGGTTAGCCTTCTGCATCCCAGGGTTCCACACCTACAGACTCAACCAACTCCTAATTTAAAAAAATGCATCTTGGGCTAGAGAGATGGGTCCATGGCTAACGCGTTTGCTAGGCAAGCAAAAGGATCTGAGTTCAGACCTGCCACCCCCACCCCCCACCCCAGTACCTTTGCAAGAGGCAGGCAGGTGTGGTGGATCACATCTGTAACTCCACTGGAGTTACAGTGGAAAGGCAAAGACAGGTGGACCCCTGGATCTCTCTGGCTAACCAGTCTAGCCAAATCAGTGAGCTCCTGGTTCAGTGAAGACACCTTGTTTCCAAAAGTGAATGGAGAGCTATACTAACCCCCAGACACTGGCTCCTAGTCTTCATGCACCCATTCAACACACATGTGCATGCACTTGCATATACATAAACATGTACACACACACACACACACACACACACACACACACACACACACACACGCATCTGTACTGAGCAAACACAAATTTTTTTTTCTTGTCATCATTTTCCAAACAACCTAGCATAAACTATTTACATAGCATTTACATTGTTGTGGGGATTGTAGTTAATCTAGAGATAATTAAAAATATAGAGAAAATGTGTAGGTTATATGCAAATATGACATTATATAAGGGATGTTAAGATTTTGGTATTCATGAGGTGTTCTGGCAAGGTGAATGTATTTGCATATGTACAATCAGCTGGAAAATAGATGAAACCATAGCCAACTCTTTCACTTTGGTACCTCTTTGTGAGTGGGGTGGCAGTGAACTTAGAGTACTTCAGGTATCACATATTATCTAGTATTCAGAGATGGGCATCACGTTAGGAAGAATATGACAATGCCCTGCCACTATTGGGTAAACCCCTCCATGAGCTAGGAGCCCGCTATCCGGAGCACATTCTGTATTCAGCCCCCATGGTGAGGCTCACAGGATGGGGACTGTGGTTATGGTCCCCATTATATTATCCACAGCCATGCCTCTTGTGTCTGAGACTGCCCAGGAATACGCAGGGGCCACTCACAGGGCCATATCCTATTTTTGCAGTTTCCAGTGGTTTTTTTGGAGGCCAGTGGCATGAAATCCACCCTCAGTACTGGACCAAATATCAAGTGTGGGAATGGCTGCAGCACCTCCTGGACACCAACCAGCTGGATGCCAGCTGCATCCCTTTCCAGGAGTTTGACATCAGCGGAGAACACCTGTGTAGCATGACTCTGCAGGAATTCACGCGGGCGGCGGGCTCTGCTGGGCAGCTGCTCTACAGCAACTTACAGCATCTTAAGTGGAACGGTGAGTGGTGCCGGGAAGTACAGGGGCTCCACAGCTGGCTGAGGGGCTCCACAGCTGGCTGAGGGGCTCCACAGCTGGCTGAGGGGCTC